ATTACAAACATGCCATGACCAAAGAAAAGATGTATTTGCATGTTTCGTGGACTTCGAAAAGGCATTCGATATAGTACAGCATTTAAAATTAATGCAAATACTGAAAAATATCGGAATAGATGACAAGGATATTCGTGTCATTAAAAATTTGTAGTCGAGGCCGTAAACGAGGAGTCAGACAAGGTTGCATTTTGTCGCCAACATTATTCAATGTTTACTCGGACCAGTTATTTAAAAAGGCACTTGAGATACAACCATATGGAATAAAAATCAACGGGGAACTACTTAATGTGATTAGATATGCAGACGATACAGTAATTCTATCAGATAATATTGAAGGTCTTCAAATTTTGCTTGATCGTATTCACGAGGTAGGAGAGGAAATGGGCATTAAAATAAACTCAAACAAAACCAAATTTTTGGTGTTTAGTCATGACCCACATCCCGATGCAAAGCTTCAATTGAACGGAGTCCAAGTTGAGAGAGCTCACAAAATGACATATTTGGGAACTGTGATAACGGACCAACTAGATCCAGACATAGAAATAAGACGTAGAATAGCAATGACTAAAACTACTTTTATAAAAATGAAGTCATTTCTTTGCAATAACCATCTCAGTTTAGAACTAAGGCAAAGAATGGTTAAGTAGTATGTTTGGTCTTCACTTTTGTATAGTGCAGAAGTTTGGACGCTAAAAGTATCGATCATGAACAAAATTGAAGCATTGGAAATGTGGGTTCAAAGACGAATGCTGAAAATACCTTGGACAGCAAGAAAAACTAATGAAGAAGTACTAAGGAGCGTCAACAAAGACAGAGAACTGCTAAAGACTGTTAAACATCGAAAAATGTTTTATCTGGGACATATAGTGGAAGTCGATATAAAATTTTACAACTGATTCTTAAAGGAAAAATAGAGGGCCGTAGAGGTGTAGGAAGAAAACAAGTTTCTTAGTTAAAAAACATTCGTGAATGGACTCAGATACTAAATGCAGGGCAAGTATTCCAGAAGATCGAGAAGCCTTCGCAATGGTGATCGCCAACGTCGGATAAATCTGATATGGCACGCGAAGAAGAAGAAGAATCTGATCGATGAAATTTTCCAGTATTAATGTTTAAACTGTATTCCTTTTTCCAGTTTAAACTGTAAAAATTTACCATGATTTTTAATATCCCAGTGCAAAATCACTACGTTCATACCGTTGGTAATCAAACTCATATGTGTACATATATTTAAGAATAGAAGAATACATTGATAACAGGTTGCCGCAAAAAGTGTCTGTAAATAGTAAGCTACTTAAGTGCAACACAGTTTAAACTGTAAAACTTTTGCAATGATTTTTTAAATCATGAATAAATTAGTTTATCAGGTCTAACGCTTGAACACTAATATTAATTGGAAAAATGTTATCAAAACAAAAGTAGCTTTTCAAAATCGTTTATACCAAACCGTTTAGATATAACAGGGTATATAAACCTGTCTAGTTTTTGATATATATGGCCATTTTGCTTTTATCAAAGTAACGGAAACTTTTTACAGACTGTATCCTTAGTAGCTACGATTACAGAATTTTCCGTCCAAACAACTTCTACGCCAGCGTTTCTAGAAACGTCAAAATAAACATGTTAAAATAGAAATTGTGGTTAATATCCTTTAAAGATAGTATATTTTATTAAAACGCCAAAAGAAAATAGCTTCAAAACAATATTAAGAAACCGGTATGACCTATCGTTATTTAAAATTTTAGAGACTAGAAATGTTACATGAAAACCAAAATGATCAAAGATCAATATTTTTGATTTTTTTCTTAATCTGGATTTGCTCTTGAATGGTTTTCCCTTTTTTTTGGTGATTTCTTATCAGCCACTTCTGAACCTCGTTTTTTTAGACATCTTTGGTGATGCCACAGAGTTTTGGGCCTACAAAGATCTGTTTCGAGCCTTGATTTGTCAACAAATCTGCTCATACATTCCCACACACCCCTTCATGACCCGACACTCACATTAAAGACAGTTTATTATCTTTTGCCAGGTTGTTGAGGATTTCTTTGCAGTTTCTCGCCAGTTTTAATTTGGTGAGTGTGTTATTTATTGCCAGAATAGCCGTTTGGTTATATGTATAAATATTAATTATCTTTGATTTGGTATCTCCATACATGCTTTCGTTAATGCAGGCCACCAAAGTAAAAACTTTAGCCTGGACCACATTTGTCTATTGACCTAGGCTGTAAGATATATTATAATTACATGTCTGCCGAAAGACTCCTGATCCAGTACTATGGGCAGTTTTAGATCCATCAATGAATCATATTAAGTTCCCATTGATATTTGGGACTGTTTCTCCTCTAGACGATATAATTGTGTTAATCTTTTCAGTTACGATCAGTTCTCTTGTCATGATATCTGAGTTCATCATAAAGATGGATTCCTCAAGTATAGTCCCAGTAATATATTTGTGGCTATTTAATCCATTCAATACATAATTCTGCCTCCAAATATTGTTTGCTTTAAATGTCAGGATGGTCATCAAGGGTACCGCCCAAATATATATTTCCAGCGGAGGAAGACCTGTGATAGCCTCTAAAGATGTTGTTCCTATACTATTCAAGGCTCCTGTTATATCCTCTATAAGTGGACAAAAAATAGAAAAACAGACTGTAATAACCACATAAGCAGAATGGAGGAGACCCGTGTCGTCACAATAGCAACAGATAAGTCACTAAGCGGCAGAAAAAGTATCAGACGACCGTTCAAAAGTTGGAGTGACAACCTTGCATAGAGGTATTAATCCGCCAATGAACAAACACAATTGCTTATAAAGAGGAAGAAGTTTATTGTTGGAGACCTCTCTACTTGAAAAAAGAAGAATACTCGTGATCTTGAAGAGAAGATTTGTAAATACTAATCTACAAAAGACTACAAAATTTTAAAAATAAACTTTTAATCCCATGTTCACTTGTTTTAATTGATGCAGAGTTATTTTGTTGATATACTGCATATGAATAATGTTTACATTGAATTTTTGCATTTACTTAAGCGTGCTTGGTTAATTTTACGAAGTCGAAGTCAAAATTTGACCAACATAATACAAAATTATTTACTAAAGGCTATAGCGGGATAAGATGGTCAAAATTGCACCATGCTCGATTCAGTTTTGGGCCTGGCCTTTCGAAAGGACATAATTAAAAACTCACTCAGTTAAATTTTCAAGTTCCTAGGTGCCTCTGAGGGTTCGCTATGGGAAAAACGTATTTAAAAAAAAAAATTTTTAGGCGCTGTATTGCTGCAAAAGTCTGAAAAAATTTATGAAAGCGTAATTTAATAATACCATACTACCTAATTTTTCTCAAATTTTTTAGCCTGAAAATTGAGCCAACAAAAAATATTTGAAATTTTCAGTAATATTTTAGGTTATGTTGGAAATTTTTGGCCAACTTTAAAACAATGTTTTTTATGTGTTTTTTCCCCGTTCTTTCGAATGGCATAGGTATTATTATCATTTTCAACGTGGAAAATGCCTAAAAATCGCATATATAAGCTTATAATTCCATAACTTTTGAGTGTACAAGTGCGTTCTAATTCACGATTCATTTTTCAAAGTCTTTTGAGGTTATGTAGTAAAAACATGGAGAAAACGGGGTTTTTCGGTTTTTCAGAATGTTGTGAGATAAAACTAATGCTTTGAATAGCTGATTTTGATTGTAAAGGAAAAGATACATGTGAAAATGTAAATTACCATTCATACCGGAGTTTTTCGTTTTTTTTTTGCATGCTACAGGAAAAAATAATAGTTTTAATAGCTTATTTCGATTTTAAAGGTAAGAATACATATAAAAATATGAATTATCATTAATTTAGATGTATGTTGTTAAGGTTATGAGTCATCCATCTCACTAAAAAACCTAATTTATGTTTATTTTATTAATATTTTTTTTATTTTATAAAAACTGATATTATTGTATCTTATGGCAGTATAAATAAATTTTTTGTTTTCTATGTAATACTTATTTGTTTTTGTTTTGTTCCTAGGCCCATACAATTTATTGTTGAGGGGTTGGGGTGCTTCAGAAAAATGCCAAAAAAAGCAGTTTTTTCGATTTTTAGGCATTTTCCACGTTGAAAATAATAATAATATGCCATTCGAAAGAACGGAAAAAACACATAAAAAAACATTGTTTTAAAGTTGGCCAAAAATTTCCGACATAACCTAAAATATTACTGAAAATTTCAAATATTTTTCCTTGGCTCAATTTTCAAGCTAAAAATCTGAAAAAATCAGGTAGTATTGTATTATTAAACTACGCTTTCATGAATTTTTTTAGCTTATTTGCAGCAATACAGATTTTAAAAAAAAAATTTTTTTAATGCGTTTTTTTTCATAGCGAACCCTCAGAGGCATCTAGCGTCTTGAAAATTTAACTAAGTGAGTTTTTAATTATGTCCTTTCGAATGACCAGGCCCGAAACTGAATCGAACATGGTGCAATTTTGACCATTTTATCCCGCTATAGCCTTACTAGATAATTGTGACAAAGTTCAGTGAATAGAGAGTATTAACAACTGTTACTTATTCATATTGTCAAGCTTACACTATAATAAATGATAAAGGAATATTCCACAGCTTGAAACTGGTCGTCGATTATAGATTTTAAAAATTTATTATACGGAATATTCCATAAATATTAGCTCCTTATACATTTTGAAAAATTTTTATCATCTTCCTACTAATTATATACATTATTTGGCAATTACAGTATCACTGAACGTAAAACAATTTTTACATTATAGTTTCTAGTTTATTGGAAAATTTTAAGTAAAATTTTTTTTACCTTTTAATTGTTTTATAAATGTAGTACAGATAAATAAATGTGCATATTATCCTAAATGAAGATTTGACAACATAATTGAAAAGCAATGTAGAACAGGCTTAGTTAACGCTAAACTTCTTTCGATTGCAGAGTTTCAAATAAATTTTTGTAGTGTAGCTGTAGTCGGTTAGTAATGTTTACAGATCCGTATAATTTTGAAGTAAGTTGTACAGGCAATAATAGTTATTTATATTTTTTATATCCAATGCAGTAAAGAAATATAGAATTAAGTGGAAAATTTAAGCTGATTTCAAGGCTTTCTCATCTACGGTGTTCAGTAGTAATAATTTTTTGCTCGTTGTCGACCAAGAACTTCTCTGGGAATCACTCAATTGTGCTAAAATGTAAACAACGATGTTAGTGGTATATTTAAGACGAAGTTGGCATGGTTAATTGGAATTGGATAAGGAATATATATCTGTAATATCTTGTGGTTTTGGATATTAAACATTTTCACCAGATATTTTATTCATCAAAGGAAAATCATTTTCATCCAAAGTGGAAACGGTGTACGAAGAGGCTGTAGGCAAAAACTAGTTTTGTATAAAGAATTGTCATAAATGTAATTTTTAATTCTTTTGTCTAAATTTGTTTCCAAACTTTTAAGGTAATTATGTATTTAAAATTTACATTAAGTCAGTTCACAACTTACTAATACAAAAAATAATCAACAGAAGTTAACGGAATTAAGAAATATATTTATGCTATATTATACAAAATTTAATTTTGTGTAAAGTATTCTCATAAGATTTTTCTCATTAGCTTTATAGTTTCAGTTTTACATTTTTCTAAAGTATCAAATTGTTAAGGTAAAAATAAAATTATTTTTCCTTCATCTAATTAGAGTGCCCCTCTGCAAAAAAGTTTATAATAGATACGGTTTCCCTTTGCGACTTGTTTTGGTTCTGCGACGTTTTTCCTTTAGTTTTCCCGAAAAATGTCGAATTTACGACATACCGAAAACTTAAAGATATGTACTGCTATTCTTTTTAATTAAATAGCCTAAAAATTATAAGAAAAACACGAAATTAACATTGGGTAATGATAATTATAGGTCTTCAATGCATCTGACGACACGAACATGCCGGAAAAATGACTGTGACTAATTTTTTAGTAAAGGATACATTTATTAACAGCATCAAAAGTAACTTTTCATATTGTTTGACGGAAACTTGTGTTTGGTTGGTTGTATAGCGCTTTGGCGGCTTTTATTAATACTATATTAATATTCGTGCTTTCCATTGAATGCCACAGCTCCTTCAGTGGAACGCTGTCGTAGGCTTTCTTTACGTCGACGAACAATGAATCTCTTGGTTCCGTGCCTCTTTTTTTTTCTATTATCTTGGTTAAGATAAAATGTGGTCAATAGTGGATCAACCCGTACCATATCCTGCTTGTTTTTCTGCTTCATAATCTAAGTATTCTCTCTCGATTCTGTTCTTTAAAACCTTTCCATGACAATACAACGTCTCCGTTGTTAAAATAGATAGAATGATAACTGGATGTGTCGAATGAGAGCTTATTACCCACGAATTAAATGTGTTAAAGACACCGAAATAGTACATGTGATATATCAATCGGTGCGTATTGAAAAGTCGAGCTCGATTATTTAGTTACAGTTTTGATATCGTTTCCAGTTAAAAAGTTATGAACGGAAGATTGGCAAAGAGACCAAAAATTAGTGAAATCGTTTATCAATCCACAGAAAGAGTTCAAATTTCGACTTCCGGTCAGGTTGGGTAAAACCTAGCATTCGCGAAGTCCAATTGCTTATTTGGGCCATATTTATTAAGGGGGAGTAGGAGATTTATTGCGTTTTTTAAATTTTTTTTATTCAATAGTAAAACTCTTCAAAAGTATTCAGTTAAAATTTTAGAGTGATCAGAGCAAAATTAATAGAGTTATAGGCATGTAGAAGTGAGTGAGTTAAGTGAGTGAGTCAGGTGTAAGTGAGGTGAGTGAGTGAGATAAATGAGTGCTCACATAGAGATTGGAATAAGTACAGCATTAAGTTCTCATAATTATACACTTGCGGCAGGTAACAATGAAATTATTAGAGCGGATAAAATGGACGCTGACGGAGACGCTAACGAGAAAACTAGAAGCATTCGAAATGTGGGTGTACCGACGCATTCTTCGTATATCCTGGACCGAACATGTCACCAACATAGAGGTACTCCAAAAAATCGGAAAGGAGAAAGAAATCGTGAATACAATTAAACAAAGAAAGCATGAATATCTAGGCCACATATTGAGACACGATAAGTACCGTCTGCTACAATTGATTGTCCAGGGAAAAATAGACAGTAAGCGAGGGCCAGGCAGGAGAAGACACTCGTGGCTCCAAAATCTGCAGAAGTGGTTCGGGCTCACATCGGTCGAACTATTCAGAAGCGCCGCAAAGAAGATCAAAATTGCCATGTTAATAGCCAACGTTCGCAACGGACAGGGCACTTGTAGAAGAAGAAGATAAAAATGGCTGCGGATGCTCAAAAAAAGGCAGAATTCGTCGAAATCAAAAGCAAAAAGATGCTTTAGATATCTTGACAGAAAGCACTTCCTATTGACACCTATATGGGCCAGGAATAGACGTTATTGTGTGAGTATAAAAAAAATAAGCTTTTTTTAACTCAGAAAAATTAAGTAATAATTACTATTAAGTACTAATTTTCAATGTCTGTCGGTTATTTACCTTAATAAATCTGTATTTTTAAGATGATTGATTTCTAAGGTTTCGAATAAATCAAATTTTTTAGTTTTTTTCTTGCGTACGCCAAATTTCATAGTGGTGATTCCATAGGCGTACGCCAAATTTCATAGTCCACTTATGAACTTCTTTAAATAAAGGTTAGCACATGCGGAATTGACATGGCGCAGAAGATATAATTTTGGACTAAACACAGCATACAATGAACCCGAGGTCATAACATAAATAAAAGTTTCGGACGGCTGTGCTGGATGAGACTAAAACACCAAAACGTATAATGAGGCAAACACCAGTAAGGAGAATTTCAAAGGAAAGAACCAAACTTAGATACATGGAACAGGTGGAACATCTGGAAAAACAAAGCAGGAGCAGAATAGAATGGCGGAAAATCCTAGAACAAGCCAGGACACAGAAAGGGATGACGATGCCATGTGGAATTAATTTTACGTTGACAAAACTAGCTCTGAATTCCGTTTTCAAATTTTCTTCCTTTCGGATACTTTCGGGGCATATTTTTATAGCATAAGCGATCTTATTTATAATCTTGTACTTTGACTTTAACCATTTTTATCTTGTTTATGTGTTTACCTAAAGAATTCTTCGTTTTTACTTATTAGTTAGTTGTCTACTAGTTTCGGTTCATATCTCAAACAATTCTGAAATACAACACATAAACTCCCATTACAATGTACCTTTTCAAAAACAGAAGTTTCATGTGCAATTTTATATCTTTCCATACTTATTTTTAGATATCCAGCTAGTAATAAAGTACTAGTTAAAAAATAAACTTTTAATTTGCGATTTTAGCTCCCAGATCAAAAGCTGATTTCAAAATATATTTTTTTAATTGCAATTTGAAGACCATTCATTGCCGATCTATTACTGAAAATTTCAATTAGAAAAAGGTATATATATTGCCACTGAGTTTATCCCCATCAAAATATTTCAAAAAATTTCAAGCTACAAAAAATGTTTACTAAATATTAACTAATATATTTTAAATATATATTTAGCTTTATTTCCTTTATTTATATATTTCTGAGTAAAATGAACAGTTAAATTTTGCTTTATACCTCGAGGTAATCAAATATTTTTCCTACAAATCTTTATAATAAAAATAATTTATCAGGGTTAAATAAGAAATTGATATATTTGTTTTCAAAACATAAAGCCACTGGCGAAAAAAACAATCACATAATTTTCTTAAACAAAAACAAAAGTTGATCGATGTCCCAGTTTGATCTGTTTTCAAAACTAATTAAATAATTATGTAAATAGATTTGTACAATGATGATGTAGACACAAATAAATAGTTCCAACTAAATTCAAATATAGTAAAAGAATAAAGAATAAAATATATTTCTAATTTAATTTTTTTTTTGTTTGAAAATGAGCTTTTATAAATAGTATAGATAATCGATTTTTTTCACACACAGATAAATGTTATAGATTGGTTTAGTACTTTTGTAATTGGTAAAAATAGATACCATATTATTCTTATATAATATTTGTTTTACATTAGGTACCATAAGAAAATTCTTTGTTTTTCTCGTTTTTATTGTTATAAATCGGCAGCTATGCATATTTGACTATGCAAAAATTTGTAAAGACAAAAAGTTTTGCAATTAAATGTCCTGCAAAATAGAATTGATGGCAAATTGAAAAAATAGTAATTATTATTGCAAAATTGGCAAAAACGAAAAAACAGTTTAAAAATCAATATTTTAAATCAGATATCTTGTGCTAATTTATAAATTTTAACCCTTTTTTCTTTTACACAATCTTGGTTAAAATGTTAATTTAAAACTTAAAAAATACAGAAAAATCGACAAGATGCAGTAGTGGGGATAGAAATCAAATAATTTTATAAGACTACTGTAAAACCTATTCTAATCTAAGTCTTTTGTTAATATGTTGTATTTCTTTGTACTATTATTTTTCTTCAAGCTAATTTTAAGAGCTTTTTCTGGAGCTTTATCATTTTCATCAAAATCTATTTTAATATCAACATTGTTGAGGATCATAGAATACTTACGTGATTGCTCCAGACAAACAGTGACTTTGGCATCTCATCTACATTTGGAACATTTCATCTCATTTTAAGGCAAGTTTAGTAAATTTTCCGGACTTTAGTAATTGTTCTGTTGTTTGAACCAGTTCTATTTCATTTTTTGAAGCTCCAAACCCCAGTTCGATGGATTTAAATCATTCCTCATCCACTGCTGTGACTGGAGTAAACTATATAGCAATATTAGATTTCTGCAGATCGAGTAGGTGGTAGCATTGACAAATGGAAGTTTTTCTTTTTACAAAACTTTTAAAACATAAATATGGTACATAATTTAAAGTCTGAATTATTTTCTAATTTTTTTTACCCTGTTGGTTAAAAACTGACGTGTCGCATCCAGGAAAGGCATGCATAAAACCAACCAGGTATTTTAAAATAGGACAAA